TCCTGCGGCTGAGGACTGTGCCCGAAGCTTGTCCTAAGTCCCAGGCCCGCCTGGACGCTGCCGTGGCACTCGCCCTCACCCACCCCCCACTGTGCCTGCCGTGGCACTCGCCCTCACCCACCCTGGAATCCAAACACTGCGATCTGACCATCCGGCCTTCTTCCCCCTACATGCGAAGGCAGAGTGGCCCTCCTCCCTGCTCAGAGCCTCTTCCCCCGGCCCGGGGTGAGGGTCCTCTGCTCTGTCCCGCCCTGCACGCCCTGGGCCGTTTGCTGTCCTCAGTGACTCAGACGCCTTCCGTGTGTCGCTGGTCCCGCAGTTCTAACCCGCTCTCTGGCATCTGAGGCTCTGCACCCACCGTCCCTTTCTGCTCCTCTGTTTACACTGGACGTGCAATGGGTCAACTCAACCTGCATGGTGCCTGAGCTACTCCCTCTACCTCAGATACTCTCCTAAAAAGCTCTACCTGTCAAAATCCAACAGAGAGGTGACGCTGGCATACGGCAGTGATTGTGCCGTATGGTGCCGTCGTCGCGCGAACGCTTGTCTAATTCTCTTCCAACAAGCGTGCGTGCTCGTGAGGTCAAGGACCACTGGTTAGAAGCATTCGTGCAGGGTTGCAGCACACTGCTCCCCAGAGCAGGGCCTGGCTTCCTGGGGGAAGACAGGGTCTGCTTCGTGAGCCTGTAGGGCTTTTCACTGTGGACACGCGGGGTGGCCCCGGGAGAAGCGCCCTGTCCCTCGGCATCCTGGATGCTTGCCCAGTGAGCAGCTCCTCTGCTGAGCCCGGGCTTCCTCGCACCCCTCCAGGGCACGGGTGAGTTAGCGCTTCCTGTGGCGGAGCCCTCCCCAGCCCCCGGCCCTCCCAGGGCCAGGCTCCCACGGACGCTGACAGCACTCAGCAGAGGGCGTCTGCTGCCACCTAGTGAAGGAAGCGGGACTCGACCTCACGCGAGCCCTGCAGACCCGGTGCTTCCCGGGGGAGGTGGCTCCAGGAAAGTGGTGGCTCCGGTGGCGGGTGCAGGTGGCGGTGGGGAGGCGGACGTCTGTGCACACAGCAGATCCTCCCCAAGCAAGGAGCAGCCCTGCTCGAGAGATGATCAGCCATCTTTTCAGAACTGGCGGGAGCCCGGGAGCCCTCAGAGGCCGTTCCCAGGGGAACTTGGCCATGACTGTAACACGGACGCTTTCCTTGGGACCCTCGAAGTCTTGCACGGAAGACCCTGGAGATTTCTTGGTCCTGGCCACCCCCTGCCCTTCCCCAGCAGGGCACAAAGGCTCACGCTGCACGAGGTGCCTCTCTGTGTGTCCCTCAGCCTCGCCAAGCCTCCGTTTCGTCACCTGAAAATGCAGCACCCCTTCCTCACTGGTTGCTCTGAGGTACAAATGCAGTTCTCCATGACCAGTGTGTAGTCAGCGCCTGCAGCCCAACAGCCCCAAGTAAACACGAGCTGATGCTGACACGAACCGTCTCAGCAGGGCTGCAGACACAAACCCACCAGGCTCGGTGCTGGGTCCCAGTGCGTCAAGCCTGGATCAGATCTCGCACACGGACAGGCCTGCACACTCAGCCCACCCCAGCACGGACGCCGTCCTGCTTTTCCTCTGCTGCACGGCGGGAGGCAGGTCAGAGGGTCAGACCTCAAGCTCCAGGCTGCTGGCAGGCACGTCAGCTCTTCCTGCCTTGGTGAGGCACAGAATTCCAGGGAGACTCCTGGGACGTTTCCCCACACTGAAGTTACCACAGTGTAGGTTCGTTGCCCCCAGCCTAGCCCCTCTGAGGATGAAAGGTAAGTGAATGCCTGGCTTGGCCCCTGGTCCCCTCCAGTTTCTGGGGAGTCCCGGGCTCCTCTGGGCCAAGCCCTTTAGATGGGCTTGGGTTTTTCTCTGGGTTGCAGAGTGCTGAACTCTACAAATGGCTAAGATCACTGGACAATCAGTGTGCACGTGGCTCCCAGGTGTGGCCAGCAGAGGCCTGTCTCCATCCCAGGGCCTCCATAGGTTTCCTTTTCTTTTTGAAAAGATGTATTTATTTATTTATTTATTTGAGAAGCAACACCATGGAGAGAGAGGCAGAGACAGATTTGGGGTCACTCCCCAAATGGCCGCAAAGGCCAGGGCAGGACCAGGCTGCAGCCAGGAGCCCGGAACTCTGGATCCCCCGGTGGCAGGGCCTCACGTACTGGGCTGGACTGTAAGTGGAGCTGCTGGGACTTGAACTGGCACCCATATGAGATGCTGGCATCGTGGGCACAGTGTAACCCCCTACACCTCAATGCCGGCCCTCAGTGAGTTTCACGTGGTGTGGGGGAGCCAGCTCCGGCCGGCTCTTGAGTGTCTTCCCAATTCCATGTCCAGGAAAAGCACGAAAGCAGATTGAAATCCGTCAGGATGAGAGTACTCACATCACAGAACTACAAAGCGAGACTTTGTTCAGAGAGTCAATTGTCACGCGCTTGTGAGGCACACCAGCGGCTCCGGTATTTAATTCTGAGCAAAGAACCATACTAAACCCCTACTTACACAACCACAGAACAAGAAGAAAATACTACTATACTAGCTTGAAAGAAATGAAAATTGAAAATGTCCTTTATTTTTCAATTTTTTTCCATTCTTTTCTAAAGATTTATTTGAAAGGCAGAATTTTGAAGAGAGAAAGAGAGAAGAGTGAGAAAGATCTTCCATTAGTTGATTCGCTTCCCAAATGGCCTCAATGACCAGGACTGGGCCGGACTGAAGCCAGGGGCCTGGAACTCCATCCAGGTCTCCCACAGGGGTGCAAGGGCCCAAGCACGTGGACCATGTTTGCTGCCTTTCTCAGATGCAGTAGCAGGGAGCTGGGTCAGAACTGGAGCAGCCAGGACTTGAACTGGTGTCCTGTGGGATGTTGGCATTGCGCTAGCAGCTTAACCTGCTGTGCCCCAAATGCTGACCCCTGGTTTTCAGATGTCCCCATAGCAGACTGTGGCTTATGAAAGAAAGAGTGGTAGCGGACAAGCCAAGATCTTTGCTTAGGTTTGAAATAACCCTAAAATACCCAGTGTTGGTAAATCCATCTGCAATAGGCCATTCGTTTAGCGGCATGTTTTGAACTCTCATTTAGCATGCAAAAGAACTGTGCGTGATAAACCACATATTTCCACGGACAAAAACATCAGAGATACTGAATGTGTCTAGAAACATACGCAAAACACAATCTAAAACTTTTACGTGTTTTTACCTATTATTTTGTTTCAATGAGTCTGAACTGTATGTCAATGCTAGCGTTAGTGTGTCCTCTCTAGCCCCTTCTAGAATCTTCCGTGGTAAAGCAGTGCCCGTGGCTAAGGGTCAGACAGCTTTATCTGAGACCTCTCTCTGCAGGAAGGATCTGAAGTGTGGCAGACACTCCGGAGGCTGGAACGGCCAGTTTCTCGGAGCCCAAGGTTTGTTCCTGCACTGAGCTGCAAGCAAGGCTGTGAGGCTGTGAGGTAGGGAAGCAGGTGAGGGGCTCAGTCATAGTGGGCCTTGCCCTTGGCGACCTCGGCGCTGGGCAAGTCTCCGTTGCAGAGCATCTGGAGTGGGGGAGGGGGCCTGTCTTCCAAGGGGCACTTGGTCATCTTGGTCAGGTACTTTCGAAAGGCCTTCTGGATGACTGCGGCACCCCGCTCCTCCTCCTTCCTCTTGGTGGTGGTGACGATGGGCTCGTAGAGCTTCTTGAAAGGGTTTGCTTCCATGAACTTCTCCTCCATCATTGCTTTCATGCTGTCCGGGCAGCTGGAGTCGCCGAGCACCCTGGTGGTGAATGCAAAGAGAATGTCCAAGCAGTGGAGCCGGTCCCCGCTCACCATGGGCAAGTCCATCACTAGAAACTGGAATTTGTTCGGCTTTGCCACCCGCAGAGGCTCCGGCAGGGCATCGGCAAAGTCGGAAAGGGCAGAATAGGCGATGAACTGCGTTGCTTCTGGGTCAAACTTCTCCCACACTTCGTAGAATATTTCGAAGTCGTCCTCGCCCAGGGGGTCCTCACTCTCCTCCGTGGCCGTGTTGAAGTTCTCCAGGATCACGGCGATGTACATGTTGACCACGATGAGGAAGGAGATGATGATGTAGCTGACGAAGTAGGCGATGGCTATGGCCGGGAGGTAGCGGTTCCGGGAGGCGTTCTCCGCCTTCAGCATGGGGCTGAGCAGGGAGTCCCAGCCCGCGGACGTGGTGATCTGGAAGAGGCAGAGCATGCTCCTCACGAAGGTCCTGAAGTTGAAGATGTCGTCGACGCCGGGCTGCGGGCTGACGTCAGAGAAGCAGTTCATGCCGAGGATGGCGTAGATGAACATGACGAGGAAGAGGAGGAGCCCGATGTTGAACAGGGACGGGAGCGACATCATGAGCGCGAAGAGCAGCGTCCTGATGCCCCGGGCCGCCCGCACCAGCCTCAGGACGCGGCCGATGCGGGCCAGGCGCACGATCCGGAAGAGCGTCGGAGGGAAAGGAATGTGCTTCTGGTTCTCCAGGGCGGACACCATCGTGCCTGAGCACAAGGAGAAAGGGCAGCGGTCAGAGCGCCGCCAGCAGGCCCCGGGCCGCCCTGGCCGCCACGGGCCCCCTCAGAACCGCGGACCCTCGCCCTCCAGTCCTGCTAATGCATGCACAAAGCTGAGATTCTTGTTTGCCCACTTCAGGGAAAGCATCTACCTGTGCCTTAACCCGGAACATAATTCCGTGCGATTTAGCTGGATGTTGGGTGGGATACGGCGTCTGTTAAAGACCAGTTTTGTGAGTCATCCCCTGTACTTGCAGTACGCTAGCTACGTTGGGTTTGTAAAGCCACTCACGGGGAAACAAGTGGATAGCTGTCCGTATTTACTGACGATACGGTGTGGAATGCAAATGCAACGCATTGGAGTCTCCCAGATTGCACTGCCAGGAGAAACTCCTGCTGGACAAGTTTGACCGCAGCCTGAACTGCCCGTGGGAATGGTCAGCCTCCGACTTCAACGTTCGCTGAACCGTTTGAAGCTCTGCATCAGTGCAGGGCGCTCTGGAGGCAGCCTGGGATGGCAAGGCCAGCGCACTGGTCGAAGAGCCACAGCGTGCGCGGGCTGGACCAGGAGGGAAGTGTGGGCTGGACCAGGAGGGCAGAGCGGGCTGGACCAGGAGGGAAGTGCAGGCTGGACCAGGAGGGAAGTGCGGGCTGGACCAGGAGGGCAGCACAGCCTAGACCAGGAGGTCAGCACGGCCTAGACCAGGAGGTCAGCACGGGCTGGACCAGGAGGTCAGCATGGGCTGGACCAGGAGGGCAGCGCGGGCTGGACCAGGAGGGCAGTGTGGGGCTGCTCACCCTTAGGCTAAAACTGCCCTCGGGTCCCTAGTCGTCTGCATGCTCAGCCCAGGGACTCTGAGTTCCAGACTCACAAACACTGGGAGACTGCTGATCGGCAGGCACTCCATAAATGGCATCTCAAGCCGAACTTTGTGCAAACAACTGAATATTTGGCCTAAAATGTCTCCCTTTTCTCTCCTTGTCTGCTCTGCAGGCAAGTGATACAAGGATTTAAAGCAACTCACATGTTGGGCCAAGTATTCTAGAATGGCTGGAACCTGCTTGCCTTGTGTAGACATGGCCTGGTTCCTGCTCCTAAGGTCCTCTAAGGTCATTAGGAGTCCTGGCAGTGTGGCTCTGCCCTCCCTAATGACTGAAGAGAACGAGCTGACAAGACACTTGCCGGTGGCTCAGTGGTCCCACCACCTCAGTCGGGCAGTCGTCCCGCAGGACGTGACTTTGTCGCCAGCTCAGCACTGTCCGTCCTTTACGACCACCTCTCTCATAAATGCATCCTCGGTTAATCGAGCCCACAGTAACCCAGCCTCTCCGAGCTCCACTCTCCGTTCCGTGTGGTTGGCACACGGTGAACTCCTAGCGAAAGACTCGCTCCCGCTGCCACCGCTGTGTGCTCTAAAACCTAAGAAGGAGCCGGCAGAAGTGCCGAGCCAAAGTGCGGGTGGCGGCTGTCCCCCAGAGGCATCCACAGTCCTGCCCACGGGGAGAGGAGGACCGGGCCTCATGTGCGGATTTTCTCGTCCACTGGAGCAAACGCTGTCGAGGACAGAAGGCAGAGACACTGCCACGCGCTGCCCGGGTTCTGGCACTTCCTGGAAAGAGCTGTGGACGTCCTCTGTCTATCAGAGAAAGAGCTCGTGGGCGCTCAGAGGGCTGCCCCGGCTCATCCTAGCGCCGTCTGCTGCTGTCCGCCTCCGCAGCATGTGTGGTTGGATCTGACTCCTACGGATTAAAGGCCGACTTAGCTACAAGTATGCAGAAGGACCCACTGCTAAACTGCATCTGTGTCACCTCACGGCCCAGGAACAAGAGTGGAGACCTGCAGCACGGATGTGTTCTCTGGACATCTGCATAGCTGCGGCTGCAACAGGACCAAAATGCTTGATCCAGCCCATCTGTTTGGTCACCCGTCTGAGCCTGCACAAAAGCGTGCATTGTGAAATCCGTTTTCTTTGTCTTCGTTGCTTTTTTGAACTATGAGAAGGGCTCATGGACAGCTTTATGTGATTACAAAAAGTCAACTGAATACATTAGTTAGAGTCAGACTTTAAAAACCCAGAGTAAATTCTTATGGCTTAGCCATAAAGAATTTAATTTCACAGTTGATTTATGTGTGTGTTTTACAAAAAAGGCACCTGGCAGTAACCATCTTTGTTTTCTCTTTCTCTTTCCGTAAGCCTTCCGATGATCTTGCCTATGGTGGGGAGATACACTGATGACAGGGTGAGGCTGGTGGGCGATGAGGTCAACGGAGTAGAGACAAGGGCAGCTCGTAAAGGGGCTGCGTCCACACGGGACGCAAGTGGACAGAGGCGCTGCCAGCCACAGACACACTCTTGGAAGCGCAACCTCAGATGGGCCTTGGGGCCTAGACAGCACATGAGGAATGCACTCCAACACCACAGGGACACAGTTGAATCTGGCATCCGTGCGGGTTTTGCAGTAAGGAGAAACAAGGCCACCAACTGTCAAATCCTTAAAACTATAAAATGCTCCTTCGAGCTTACAGTTGCACAGGAAAGGTAGAAGCGTGGGTCTAAAACCCGGATAAATCATATACCACCACAAAAACTTCCAGGTCATCTTAGTTTTGCCAGCTCCCCTGAGCAAATCACCCACCTAATTGTTTAGTTCAATGTTGTAGACAGTCAGGGGAAGGAAACTATTCTCTCGTTCCTAGCAGCTTCCTGCGAGAACGGCATTAGTGCACCTGTCTTTCTGTGCGGGAATCGCCTGAAGCCTGAATGCTGCTTGGAGGATGGTCTGGAAGTGCTTCCAAATGACCGGTTTCCAAGTTTGCTTTTGGAGGTCGATGGAAGCCCCGAGGCTGAGATTTTTACTTACTGACAATAGACAGAACCACGACCACACCATCAAATAAGTTCCAGCCATTGGTGAAGTAGTACTGCCTCAAAGCAAAGACTTTGACGAGACACTCTGCCGTGAAGATGACCACGAAGGCGACGTTGAGGTAGTCCAGGACGGCCGTCATGGCTCGAGACTGCTCGGTCGTCTCCATCATCATGCTGACCATGTTCAGGACGATGAGGAGGATGATGATGATGTCAAACACTTGGCTTGTGACTAAGTCGAACACGAGACCTTGACATTTGTTCTGAGGGAAACACAGAGAGAAATAACAGGTCATTCAGAGTGTAAGAAGGGTGCCACGCACACTGAGAGGCGCGGCAAACACGTGTTTGCTCTTTCCCAACGAAGCGGTTCCTTAGGAACTGCACGTTCTTTCCAGCGGGCAGGAAGCGCTTGTAGAGCCCTGGGCCGCTGTGCAGACTTCTGTTTAAACTTCATCAGATAACTGGCGTGAAGCGCTTGGGCTTACAGCTTTAATGCCATTTTAAAACAAAAAATATTAGCAAAGTCTTAGTGACAAAATAACTTCGATGTGAAGGATAATGCTATTGGGCTGAATTAAAACAGCTCATGTTGGATTATGTCATAAAAGTGATGAACTTGGTGGCTGCACTTCATCTGCTTGTCCTGCAGTCACTCCAGTGCAGAGAACACCTGCTCACACGGGACACCGCAGAAAACGTCAGTCACGTCCCTGAGGCTCCATCGGCCAGGTCGGCTCCTCAGAGCTTATCCTTAACCAAAACTCTTAATTTCAAGCAACTCTTTTTTTTTTTTTTTTTTTTTTTTTTTTGTAGTCAAGCAATTCTTGAATGCCAGTTTTCTAATTTTTGTTCATTTGAAGATAAATAGTTAAATGGGCTTCTTATTAAGTGACTATTAAAAATGGAAACAAAAATCTGATTATATTATTGTTGATGAAATTGTACGCTGGTTTCTATATGGATGGCCACACTGTTCCCTAAATTTGTATGGCTGACGGTTCTGGCACAAGTTCTGATTTGACTCTGTGTGCCTGATCCACCATGTGCGGTGAAAGGACTCAATTATTTCATGGTTTTCTTTACTGTAACTGCTGTGAAGCACTGCTTAGTGAAAACTGTCCTTAAACACAAACTCCCACACTTGAGTCACTGGCGTTCTCGAGTGCATGCGTGGTTTCATAATACCTGCACATATCGGGTTATTTTATATCACCCAGTCAAAGTATGCATACCCTGGTCTGCACAGAGAATGCAGGGACCTGTAAGCCACATCTTTCGGCCACCAGGGACCTGTCATGGTAACCCAGGCCGCAGATGATGCTGCCTCCTGGTGACAACCGGGGATGAAGATGTAGCACACAGCTGAAGAGCTAGTGTGCAGTAGAAGGAAAGCAGTCGGGTGCTGAGCGTGGGGCTGACGCTTCCTCTCATCGTTGGTCACTGACTGCGTTTAAGCGGCAGAGACCAGAGGATGGGGAACTCCGAGGAGGTCTGAGCTCTGTCCTGAACATGTTCAGTCTGCACTACCAGGAGGGCGTCCAGGGGCCGTGAGCAGAAGCAGCGCAGGGGCAGGAGTGAGGCGTGGCGGTCAGAGGTCAGTGGCATCAGTGCTAATATGGATTAAAACCATGAGCGTGAACATCAGCACTCGGAAGACCAGGGGCCAATGGGAGGACACGGGCAGGGACGCTGCATGTAAGTTGGTGACGTCCGAATCCTGCGCTGGGTGCTCCAAGGCTTTTGGTAAGAAGCCTGGAGAAGTCACCGGACGGTCAGGTGCACTGCCCATGTGAGGACGCGCCTGGGAAGTCAGGTGGGAGAGGAGAAGAGGGACAGAGAGTGAGGGGAGCCAAGTGCGGGAGGCGGCTGTAGAGGTCATTGTAACTCCGGGACAGAGGGGACTAGAAGCGTAAGTGACCTAAGAGGCAGATGGCCCAGAAGCATTCTCTGTGACGGACAGTTACCCCTAGCGTCAGACCCAGTGAGGAAGCCACCCCGCGGGGACGTGTGGATGATTCTAAATCCCCTGACTGTGGCTGGAAATGAAATGGATGAATGTTCAGGTTAAAACAGCTGGATTTTCCTGCCTGAGAAATTGCTATTCATTTGTTGCAAAGGTCAAAAAAGAGTATTTCGATTTGAGAGATTAAAAAGTAAGTCCGTGGTGTGTGTAAAGGGCTGACAGTTGACTGGACGTCTTAGCTCAGACGTAGCGGTGTCTGGCGATAAGGTGTTGGATTGGCGTCCACTAATACTGCTCTCCAGACGGAATGGGGACGTCGAGACACAGGTGCAGCGTTCGCTGCCAGATTGCCTTGTCTATCAGAATGATTGACTGGGAGCTGCAGTCACACCGCGGGGTCTGTGACTCGGTACCCACGCCCTGAGGGCCCGTGAGAAACCTGCTGTAACGCACAGTGGGGTGACGCGGGGCCTGGCTTCCCTGCGCTAACGGAGTCCGCGCCCAGGGTAAGGTCTCTCCTTGCAGATCCGCAGGGCCAGGGCGCTGTGACTGGCACGGCCATGGGCGGCACTGCTTGGAAGTGTGTCTTTTGAGTCTTCAGTTCTAGCCCTAGAGCCTACTGCTGTTGAGTCGGAGGCTGATAACAAAAACACCCTCGGGCCGGGTGCCACCGAGTGCTGAGAGCTGCGGTGGACCAAGCTTCGCTCCCCTGGGCCTGGTGCTTGAAGGGCAGCCCCAGTGCCCCGCCTGCTGCTGGCGGAAAACCCCTCTCCCGGATGCCGCCCGACTCTCCAGCCTCCACCCACTCGGCCTGCCCTGGCAGCTGCCAACGGGGGACCCGGATTCAGAACTTGTGCACATACATGTGCTGTCTTGGGGATGGAGTCCAGCCACAAATTTATCTGTTTCAGATAGACCTGATACACACAGGGGATTCATCTTGTATACCTTATACACACAGGTAATTCTATATAACATTTTTAGTGCATCTCGGTTTTTTATGGAGGAAATTATTTTTCAAAATGTATTTCATTTATTGCTGTTTAAAGCCTCATCAGTTTGGAGTAAGAATAATTGTCCAGATTTATGGGATATAGTGTGACACCTCAGTGCAAGTATACGATGTGCACTGCTCAGCCAGGTTAACCAGCATTTCCCCGCTCATCACTGCACTGAGACTGGAGCCCCAGGCTCCCTCCTCCCGTCGCCCAGAAAACATGCAACAGGTTGTCGTGCACTACAGTCACCCCACTAGGAACGGAACCTTCTATCCAGCTCCAATTTGGGGCCTGTTATCCAATCCCTCCCTCCCCCATGAGCCTCTAGTAATTGCTAGTCTACGCTCAGATGGAGTTTCTTCAACATCCACTTCTGGGGGGAACTATGCAGTATCTCTGTTTGGCTCATTTCACTCAGTATTATGTCGTCCATTTATATTCATTTTGCTGCAAATGACAGGGTTTCATTTTTCACAGCCGAATAATAGTCCACGTGTGTGCAGACGTTTTCTTTATCCACACCTGATCTCATGTGGTTCACATGCAGCCAGATGTGGAATTTTCTACTTGTGATGTCGTGTTGGTGCTCAGAAAATTGTGGACTTTGGAGCACTTGGGATTTCAGATCATCATGTTTAATCTGTGCCTGATGATTTGATTCTCTCACATGTGTATTTAACCTTCCTGCCTCTCACTTGGACTGCACGCTCCTAGCCAAGTGCTGCTCCTGGCTTTCCCTGTAGCACCTGATAAGGCAGGGCTCAGAGAAGAAATCAACAAACCATGGCCCACAGGACAAACCCAACCAACCACCTGTTTCTGCATCGCTCATGACCTAGGGTGAGTTTTATATTTTTAAATGCTTGGGGAGGAAAAATCAGACGATGAAGCCAATGTCATGGCACATGAAATGACGTGAGACCCCCGCTTTCCGTGTTTTACTCTCCGTGGCTCTATTTGTGCCACGGTGGCAGAGCTGAGGCAGCGGCAGGGACCACGGCTGGCTAAGCCAAGACTAACTCTCTGGTCCTTCACAGGAAAAACAAAACTGCCAGCCCTGCTCCACCAAGTTCGTCACAAACACTGGTAACGGGGAATGAGCTGTATCAGCTCAGCCACTCACACCAGCTAAGGTGGTGAAAGACGCTGCGAACGCATCTTGACTGCTCGAGTCCCAGCTGCTGTGCCCGCTTCCTGCAGTGGGTGCACACAGCGCCTTCGTCAGCACCCCACAAGCACACCGCATGGCCGCCTAGGCTCTTACCACCGAACCTTAACACCTGAATGCTTGAGTGCATCTGGGATGTTGTGAGCTCTCAGTGCCTGCAAACCAAAGTCCCAAGAGAAAGGCACGGCAGAAATCCAGGTTACTCAGAACCACCCATTCAATGCAGGTTGCTCTCACCAGAGGCCTTGGGATGGGCTTTTGGGGTTTTTTGGTTCCTAATTTTTTCATGGCATTATAGTACTTCTTCTGTTCTTCGGTCATAAAGATGTCTTGGCCACCTAAGTATAGGGAGAAGACAAGAGATTGCCTTGATTTTGGGGCTAAGTTCTGAAATTTAGAAGCAACTTCAAGTTTACATTGCATTTCTGTCAACAGTCCTTACAATTCCAACGGAAGCACAAGAAGTTGGACCCTAGGGAGAGCTAGAAGGAAACAGTTTTAAAGTTAAGGAACAAGAGAGAAATAAGGTTATATTTACTAGTTGTATACCACTTTTTACAACGTAAATATCACAAATTCATTGCAAATATTCACAGAATCTTTATAAAAACTGAATATGTTTTATGTTGCATAAATCAAACTGCAATGCAATAAAAATAGAAATTGGTAACAAAAATTTAGACAAAATCCCATAATGTGGCAATTAAATTCTCCTAAAATGATACATTGACACTACCAAATGAGGTTTCACAAAATCTACTCAGAGTCATTTCCAGAAAAGGAAACCCATAGTTTCAATTATTTTCATTACTGAGCAAGAAAGAAACAGAAAAAAGATTTGGATTTTCAGTGTTTGGAAATGAATGGACAAGCTGTTTAGAAATGCTGTGTAAAGTAAACAGAATTCTTCTAGAAGCACAGCTGAACCTGAACACAGTGAGAAAAATCTCCAGGGTCTGAGAGCGGAGAGGCCCAGCGACGGAGCCGGGGCGAGGGTTTGCACAGCAGCAGGGCAATGCCTGCGATGTCCTCATTCCTCTCAGGGCCTGGGTTCGAGTCCCGGCTCTGCTCCTGCTGTCTGCCAATGGAGGCCTTGGCTGGCAGCAGCTGATGGCTCAAGCAGTCGGGTCCCTGCCATCCACTGCGGACCTGGGTTGAGTTCCTGGCTCCAGGCTCCCGGCCCAGGCCCGGTGTTGTGGGCGTCTGGGGAGTGAAGCAGTGGATGGGAGGGCTCTGTCTCTGTCTACTTGACTGAGGAATTAGCTGCAAAGCCACAGCTGGCCTGAGAGGCACCTGCTGATCTCTACGAGCTGGAATCTCGAGCACTAGCGACTGTGAGAGTTACCATCAGGAAGCAAAGGGAAGGGGCTGGGCAGAGGAGGGAGGCACAGGTGTCCCCGCAAGCATCTGGTGCCTCTTGGTGCCCACTGACAGGACGAGGAAGAAAACAACATGTGTCCACAGCAATGCATGACACCCAGGGAACTGGCTCTGCCTTTTTTTTTTTTTTTTTTTTTTTTTTTTTTTTTTTTGACAGGCAGAGTGGACAGTGAGAGAGAGAGACAGAGAGAAAGGTCTTCCTTTGCCGTTGGTTCACCCTCCAATGGCTGCCGCGGCCGGCGCATCACACTGATCCAAAGGCAGGCTGGCTCTGCCTTGATTTCGAGTAGAACACTAGGCTGGCCTGACAGCCTGTGACTCCAGGTCTGTCTTGATGAGAATTCAGGGTCTGAATTTACTACGCCAGTATGCACCAACAGTATACAGCCTGGGAGTTAACAGGTTGTTTTGGGATGCTGGGCACAACCATGTCTCCCAGGAATCAGACTTGTCATGATAGTACTAAGACTGCTATTCTGAGACTACAGACTGTGTGAGAGAAAGACAGTGACCGACTGCAGGAAGTCTTACTATTACCATCCGCTGTGCCCTTGAGGACCAGGTTTCTCAATGTGGAAAGAGGAGAGAGATGGATCAGAGGAGTGGTTGACTGACAACTTGGAAGCACTGAACCTGAGCTGTCAGAATGCCCGTTTTCACACCCTGTTTCCGGGTAGTCCTGAGTTTGAGGCAGCTCCCTCTACTGGGGAGGCCTGGAAGCAGCGGCAAGGAGCGTGGCGGACTACGGCCTGCAAGGACCTGACTCCAGACCCGGGCAGCAGGCAGCCTGCGCCTGGTGTATCCGGTCCTGCCGGCGAGTAACAGAGCTGTCACATAGGAGGACCTCATTAGATCCTGACTTGAATCAAAACAAATGAAAATTTAATAAAAATAAATACAACAGAGAATTCATAAATAAATCTAAGAAAATTAAAGGCTCAGGGGAAACTGAACATGGATTTCAGTATTTGATGAATTCAAAGAAAAATTTTTTAGATGTGACAATGTAATTATGGTTTTTTAAAATTATTTACTTGCAAAGGATAGTGGTAGAGAAGGAGACAGACAGACAGACAGACACACAGACACACACCCACACACCTTCCATCTACCGGTTCATTCCTCAAATGCCCACATCAGCTGGTATTGGGCCAGGCAGAACCCAGGAGCCCAAAACTCCAAGTCTCCCACACAGGTTGCAGGGACCCAAATATTTGAGCCATCGTCTGCTCTCTCCCAGATACATTAGCAGGAAGCTGGATCAGAAGCAGAATGGCCGGGACTCCAGCCAGGCACTCTGATATGGGATGCTGGCTTCACAGGCGCCTTAACCCTGGGTATGAGGCCCACCGCTGTGGGAATGTCTAAAAAGAGACAGATGCTGGCATGTTTATGAAGGAAATGATGTGAGACTGTAGTCTATGTATGTTTATTTGCTCCATTAAAAAATAGGGTTGAGTAAGCGTGTAGATGACACAAGGACATTCTTCAGTCAATAAGATGTGGTGCTAGGTGCTGGGTGTCTATACCTTTGTGCATGTTAACAAAAGTCAAACAGACGGGTGCTGCGGGCTGATCGGCATCTGATGGAAGCTCGGATCTGACATCCAAGTTGTCAGTGTGGATTACAATCCAGACGCGCGTCCCAGAGGTGATTCACACTTCTGGTGCAGAACTGAGACAGCCGCCTAATGACAGCAAACGAAGGCTGGCTGATAACGAGGTTCATTTCGTGTAAATCACAGGAGCTCAACACAGAAGTAGCGAAGTCTTAGAGCTAAGGGCGCGTATTTAGCCATATGACTCTGGGACGAGAAATGCTCAGGTCATGAATATGAGAAAAGCAGTCAAAAAGAGTGAGATGCAGTGACTTAAAAACACTAATATCTGTAAATCAAAACATCATCAAGAAAATATAAGAACAACAAATGCTGGTGAGGCTGTGGGGAAAAAGGCACCTTAATCCACTGTTGATGGGAATGAAACTGGTGCAGCCACGGTGGAAGTCACATGGAGGTCCCTCAGAAATCTGAACATGGACCTACCATACGACCCAGCCATCCTCCTGGGAATTTACCCAGTGGAAATGAAATCAGCACACGAAAGCGTTATCTGCACCCCATGTTTATTGCATCTCAATTTGTAATGGCTAAGATATGGGATCAACCCAAATGTCCATCAACTGTAGACTGAATAAAGAATCATGGGATATGTGCACCATGGACTATTACACAGTGGTAAAAAAAAAATATTAAAATCCTGCCATTTGCAACAAAATGGATGCAACTGGAAAACATTCTATTTAGTGAAATAAGCCAGTCCCCAAAGGACAAATACCATACGTTCTCCCTGACCTGTAGTAACTAACAGAGCACCCAAAAGGTAATCTATAGAAATGAAACAGACACTTTGAGACGCAGTGACTTTGAGCAGCCCTTGTCTCGACTTGTTGAGGAACAGGTGAACAGGTGTTTTTTGTTTGTTTGTTTTTGTTTTTTGCTTACTATTTGTTGAACTCTTTACTTAGTATAGAGTCAATCTTCTGTGTTGAAAGTTAATGAAAACAGATCTCAGTAAAAAAAAATAAGAATGCGAATAGCAGAGGGAGGAGAAAGGGTGGGAGTGCAGGTGGGAGGGCGGGTTGGGTGGGAAGAATCACTCTGTCCCTAAAGTTGTGTTTATGAAATGCATGAAGTTTGTATACCTTAAATAAAAGGTTTCTGGGAAAACAATTTTTAAAACGAAACATAAATACCAAAGAAAATATAAGAAGCAAGTCACCACTTGGACTTAGTATAAAAAATGCATAAGAAAATGGTGGCAACCCCAGTCTTAACAATGAATTTCAGGCAGAAAGAAACAGTTCTTGAGAAAGAAATACTCACAGCCTGTAAGCTGCGGGAAAATGTGTAGCCTCACTAACAAGCAGACAAATAAGTACAGAACCACGAGAGAACGCCTTTTCCCGTCAGCTATAAAGGAGAATAGCAATGCTAACAGCCAGAATGATGAATTTCACAGCATGTCTTTAGTGCCTTACGTGCTCTCATTCTAGGAACTTCTCCTGACTAAATAAACAGAAAAATCCTGAAAATAATTGGATTGTTTTAGAAGGGCAGGAAATTTGGAAATGACCTGAATGTGTAAACAGAGGGGAAGCCGCAGGATGAATGTGGGATAGAATTCAGCCGTGAGTGTTCTTCAGGCAGAGATGATGTTATGACACAGGTTATAGATAGTGAGCCCACAACGTACTGAATTAAAAATAAAAGGGACTCCCAGCCAGGTAAAAGGAATACATATTTGGCTAGAAAGTAACTGGATGGCATTCTGCCAAAATGCCCAGCAATGCCGTCCAAAGTGGTTATCATTTGGTGGTCACTGGAGGGCGATTTCGTTTTCCACATTTACTGCTAAGGTCCTGAGGACTTCAGAATCAGCAAAGAAACATCTTCACATGACACTGTGTGGGGAAAACCCTCCCTAGTTCCTCCTCCTCCCCAGCCACCTTCCTTCCAAGAAGGTTCAATAGACCCGCTGAGGCTGGGTGTTGGGTGCCAGGACACAAGTTTGCTGGAAGAGGAGGGCCATCATCTTTACTGTAGGTAGACAAGTGGGATGCCCTTAAATCTGACCATGATGTCACAAATGCTAATCCTGGTAGCTGCTATTCTGCTAAGGGCCACTCAGTATCAGGCTTAATCACAACAGCAGTGTTCACTGAGTAAAGGGTAGGCAGAGAGTAAAACAACAACTTAATAAACCCCGGATGCTCGCAGGGCCCTCCCAACCTTATCCTGGAGGCTCTCCGCCCAGCAGAGGCGGCGGCTCCTTCTTCGTCTCCACGCAGATCCAGTTGCTTTGCACAGCTGTTCAGACCAGAACTGTGTTCCATCAAAGTCCTTGGAGAATGGAGGTGAAATTACCAAGTCAGGACAACCCACATACTTATCTTTCTCTGCTGTTGGTTGAAGTTGTCAATAATAACACCGATAAAGAGGTTCAGACTGAAGAATGAGCCAAAGATGATAAAAATTATGAAGTAGATGTACATACACGAATTCGCCTCGAACACCGGCTGTACGTCTTTCTGTTGGGAGTTTTCAATGGAAGAAAAAGAGAATTACTGGAGGGAAGAACGAGCTGTCCTCACTGCTTACAACCGAAGGGGCTCAGCATGCCATTAACCACACAATCTCTTTGGCACAGACCCAGCCCCTGGGGGAGCTGCTCTTCTGTTTCCCAGCTCAGTCTGGGTGATCACCTAGAGACCCAGAGGCAGCTGCCCCAGCTGGAGGCTGGGCGTTTGTTTGTTTGGTAAATGATGGGGAACCACTGAGGGTCTGTAAGAAGGAGGAGCGGCACAGTCTCTTGGACGTTTGAGAAAGTCCACAGGATGTCTCTGGATATGCAACTAGAAGGAGCCAGACTGGATTGTGGCCACCACAGAAGCAGCACATTGACCTTGGGCAGAAGTGATTAAACTACTAACCACTGAGCTGTGGCCGCCTTCCTACAGAGTCTACTGTTCTACGCAGTTGGTGATCGTGGCCTTTCACTGCTGAATTCCTAGCGGCTAGCGTACCTTCCAATACATGGAGTTTCAGTGAGCACAGAATGAATGTGTGAGTGAATGAATGAATGAGTCAGTAAATGATCAAGCTCCCGCCAGGATTTCCCAGCTGAAGGCACAGTCAAGAGCATCTGAGACCCTGTTTGTCCAGGTTCTTTCCACTGCGACTGGCCTTAGTGCTTTAGGGTAGTAGTGAGAGGAGTCCCCTCCTCTGATCACAGTTGGAGAAGCGAGTGTTGACAGCTCTGCCATCTGCTGAAGGCGTTTACGATACTTCTTAGCCAACATCTTCCACACAGACTGGTGAGACAGAGCTAGCTATTAAAAACCATTGCTTTCCCCTTTCGACTGGAAGATACCTGACCAGGTCACAGCTGGCTTGAGGCTGTCCATTTCTTTGAATGGAAGATGGACATTAGTATAGAAACCATGTGATGGAAGGAAGGCTCTGCTCTTCAGCGTCTGGCATTTGAAATAAGATTACGCAGCAGGCTAACAGACCTGCAAGTCAGGTTATCGCCATGAGGTAAAAGAATGTCTACATACCTTTACGTTCATCATGTACTTCAAGAACTTTGTGGAAAACAGAATTAAAATAAAAGCTTACTTCACTATGAAAAATTTCCATGTGAGGGTTCTTCAAGAAGTTCAGAGGTAATTTGTATTATGAGCAAACTTCATGGTTTCAAAAAATATTTTACACCAAAGTAAGCTTATTGTTTAATTCCATATTCCAGGAACTCTGTTTTTATTTTAGTTTTTAAGTGTATTGATTTCATTTTATCTGAAAGGCAAAGACACAAAGAGAGAGACAGGCACAGAGAGGTTTTCCATCTGCTGGTTCACTCCTCAAATGGCCTGCCACCGCCAGGGCTGGACCAGGCTGCAACCAGGAGCCCATAATTCAGTGCAAGTCTTCAGCCTGGGTGGGCCCAAGTACTTGAGCTATCACCTGCTACGTCTCAGGGTGCAGAGAGCTGGATTGGAAGGGGAGGAGGTAGGACTCAAGAGGTGCTCCAATAGGATGCATCAGTACCCCAAGTGGCAACTGTCTGCCCCTCACAGATGTTTGAAATACCGCCATACATTGGTTCAGAGGAAGAGGGAACGACAAAAGCTCACCTCATTTGTCCCGAGAGAGTTTTGGGGGGGAGAAAACAGAGATAGAGAAAACCGGAACCCTAAGATGCACATCCTGATTCTCTGTTTGGTCCTAGAGGGCATATGGGGTCCAGCAAATTGAGGGGGACATGGATGGCAAAGGAAGTGCTCTTGCTTCAGTCCTGCACTCCGTGGGGAAGCTGCTGCTGGGACCGCGTGGGGGACACCGGGCAAGCGGCCTTGCTCCAGGACATGGAGTTGGAGCTAAGGCCTTGCCACAGGGTCCCTTCTAGCAAGCGATGGGAATAGACTCTGGGCCAGGGGCCGCCCGCGTAGGTGACGTGGCAGAAGGAGCTGAAGGAGACATGGCTCGTGGTGTCACTGGTCACAGCTGCAGTATCTGAAACCACCAGAAAGCTCTGTGTCACGCACACAAGGGCTTCGTGCTAGAAACCAGGATCCATCAGCTGGCTTGGACCAGTGCCAGCACGAGCCCAGGTACCCCTCCCTCACCTCCGCTCAACTATCGCTCACTGTGGGAGCGTAGGTAACTCAAACACCTACCACACATCTACGAAAGCTTCTCCCACCCCCATCTCCACCTCAAGGCTGATGAGTGCCCAAGGCAAAACTGGGTGAAGGTCATGTACTCAAAAAGAAAAAATCAGTGCATTGATGGGGCTGGGGCTGTGGGTAGCGGGTAAAGCCTCCGCCTGCAGCGCCGCATCCCACATGGGCACCGGTTCAAGTCCCGGCTGCTCCACTTCCGATCCAGTTCTCTGCTATTGCCTGAGAAAGCAGTAGAAGATGCCCAAGTTCTTGGGCCTCAGCACCTATGTGGGAGACCTGGAAGAAGCTCCTGGCTCCTGGCTTCGGATCAGCTCAGCTCCAACCGTTGCAGCCAATTGGGGAGTGAACCAGCGGATGGAAAACCTCTCTCCCTCTCTCTGCCTCTGCTTTTCAAATAAAATAAATAAATCTTAAAAAAAAAAAGAAATCGGTGCAATGATACTTTTAGAATAGTTCCCTTGCTATAAATTGTAATTACAGAATGATATTATGCATATAATGTATGATTATGCAACTATATTCTCTCTATAAATATTATAATACAAATTATAAGTGTTATAAAGTTAAGTATACACCATTCGCTTTGCCTTTCCAGAAACTTAACATTGCTAGCAAGAGCTCAGACTTAAGCAAATCCAGGGTTGTTGCTATGTGTCTTCCACACAGTAACTCATTCTGCCTGCCTATACATTGATAATGGGAAACTAGGAGGATCATAAGGACTAGCTCCCATTCCTCAGTGCCCTGCCCTTATCAGCTCTGTTGACGCTACAGCTCACTTGTGTCGAATGCTGACAGCATGTCAGGCAGCAGCTCTGCAGACCCCCAGCGCGAGCACACACATGTGCTAGGATGGGAAAACTCAACAGATTTCCTGCGATTCCATTTCTGACTCTACATTTGCCTCCTCTACGCCTGGGCAAGTTCCTTCCTTTCTAGCCCTCAATGTCTCATCTGAGAAATAGAAACAGAGCGAACTGCTGAATATCCTCCGCCTTTGGGACTCCACGATGACCGTGTGGCAGGACTCAACGGCTGGAAATCACCAGGAGCTCGGCGCAGGGAGCCTGCAGCCACAGCAGTCTCTCTCATTTGAATTTAATCCAGTCTCGTGGTTTTCTCTAAGACAAGTCATCTGCGAAATCTGGCTTCTGCCTGTCCACCTATTTGGAGAAGAGGTGAGAAACAAATAAAAGCACCCTGGCTTCTGGCTCTACCTCCTACAGCTCCCTTGGTCACCATGGAGACCACGACTAGACCTTGGAGACACACACAAGTGCTTTTAATCAGGTAGTGGCTTTTCTCATAGTTCTCGCCCGAGGGAAATGAGGCCGAGAACCCTGGCTGCTGAAACTGTGGGGCAGGAAGCTCTTGATTGTTCACACACTCACGGTGCCCCCGAGTTAACCCTAGCACTCTGCAACACCGAGGGACAGACTCACATCTCGGGAATCAACCGCAGCATACATAATCTCCATCCAGCCCTTATACGTTGCCTGCAACCAAAGCAGAGACACACGGATGTGACAGCTGACATGTCCACCACAGACACACGCCATGCAGAACGCCAGCCCAGCATGCAAACGCAGAGCAGGGGAGGCCCAACGTGCCGGGAAGACCTGCTTCTACAAAATGGCAGTAGAAGGGGATGCGAGCTTGAGTGTCTTGGACTTCTCTCTTTCATTTTCACAAGTTAAAAAGTTTAAAAAACAAAGAAATGTCTGACTTCAAAGTTGTTTGAAAAGCTGTGGCCCAATATCTGTTTGTACTGCCTGAGATGTGGCAACTGCTTAAAAGGATGACCTGGAGGGCCAGCAAGGCACCACACAAGACAGAGTGTGATGTCTGAGTAATTACAGGGACGCCACTTGGGCAGTGAGATTCAGTAAGCAACAAAGTCGGGGATGCTCAGGACAGTTCCAGAAGGCCTTGGCTCCCCCTGGAGGAACTAAGATTTGGTCCTGTTATCTCAATGGAGTCCTTGCATTTTTATTAGTTAAAAATGATTTGTAATTCTGAACAGTTTCTTTTTCCCAGTCAAAAACATACCTATCATACTTACCACCTGCAGCAGAGCGAGGTAAGCTTGCCCCACATTGTCAAAGTTGACTTCTGGGTTGACCCAAGAGAAGTTGTCAGTTTGGCATTGGTTTCTATATGTAATGATGGTGTGATTTGTAAACAAATTTGGATCTGTTTTATTAATGCATTTTCCAAACTTTCCAGAAAAGAAGTTTACTCCCACGATACAAAATATGAGCCAGAAAATGAGGCAGACAAGCAAAACGTTCAGAATGGCAGGTATGGCACCTATGAGAGCGTTCACCACCACCTTAAGGAAACAACAAAGGAAGAAAAATGGGCAGGACACACCAAGTCATGATCTTCCCAGGGCAAGCCTGACAGGCAGGGCTGGGTGTCTCCTGCCCCCACCCCATGCCCGGCCCTGCCCTCAGCTCCCGTTGATGAGGGTGTCAGATAGGGGACACTTGCCCTGGGCTTCCGAAGGGAAGCCAGAGCCCATCTTAGCCATCACAGAAGCTGTTAGGATGGTAACTCTATCCTAGACATGCCTTTCCCTCTCAAACTCCATGCACTGGGCCGAGAAGAGGAAAGACCAGGAAGATCCTGGTGACTGAGGACGGCGCGCCCAGAAGGGCAGCCCACATCTCTGCTCTCCCCTGCTGCCTGAGCTCCCACCCGACCAGCTGGAGGACGTACCTTCATTCCTTCAAACTGCGACAGCGCCCGGAGTGGCCTCAGAGCTCGCAGAGTCCGGAAGGACTTCAAGGACTTCAGGTTGATGAGGCTGATCACAGACACCTGGTGGAAGAGAAGGGGCAGGTTGTGCACCTGCCTTGGTGCCCAGGGAAGCCGGGGAGGGGCTAAGAGCCCCTTCCCAAGAGGCAGAGGCATCATGCCCACAGGAACAAGTCAGACCCTGCTGGAAGGGGGAGGGTAGATGGAGAAGCACGTGTCTCCCTGTCTGGCAATTACAGTTCACGCAAGCAGAAATCAGGCACTTTCATCACTGTGTACTTAATGGGGGTCAAAGAAATCTGAGAGATTTTGAACATCAAGCAATCAAAGACACATGGATGATATGTAGTGTGGGATCGGGATGGCTCCCTGTGTCGCTGTGGAGGCGAAGGCAGACAGGTAGGATTAGCCATAAAGAACCTTACTAGGACAAATGACCAAGCTTGAAAACAGATGTGGATTCAGTGTTGAATGACTGCTAAATTTCATCGTCTAAACAAAACAATGTCCTTTTTAGGAAATACACTCTGAAGCGCACCAGGGTAAAGTGGCCTCATTCTTGCAACTGAACCTCCAAACAAGGAAAGGAGACGCAGATGGGTGGCGTCTGACTCCCTGGGAAGCTGGGGAAACAGGAGCTCCTTACACTTCCGGAAATGGTGGCCAAAGGAAAAGTTACAAAAATGCATTATTTGTTCACAATTTTCCCCCCTTACTCAAATAGCTCCTTTCGGGGGAATTAGATGTGTTTTCCTCTCCCAGATGGGACAGGAACGCAGATTGGAAAGCTCTGCTGGCACTCTAAATCCAGACCTAACAGACGATGAACTTAAATTAGAGACCCTCTCCAGATCCTCAGCCACTCTTAGTAGTTACGGGGGTCCTCACAGGCTCTCCTTGAACACTGCTCGTCTGGACAGGAAGTGAGTTCAGATACTCACGACTGAGCTGATGTAAAGTTACTATTACCTAAAAATACTCCCTAGTAATCCTTCCAGCTTCATTGCAGTAGAAACATATTTCTCAATCAAGATAAATTAAATGAGTTAGTAAGACAGATGAGTTACTATGGCAAGATTAAAAAATGTGTAATCAATCAAAAATGTTTCTATTTATACTGGATGTTACACACAGACTTTTTGCTTGTAGTAGCTTTGCTTGTCTGGAGAGTTTAACAGCTTTCCCACAAGTACTCCCACCTTGTTCCTGCCAGAACAGAGCATGGGGGACTCTGCATTACCAAATCCCCATCCTCACCGGTGGGGAAAGGCATTCTGGGGAGGACATTACATACCTTTTCGCCTGGAACCTCACCCCAGGCTATGCACCACCAGGAGGCACTGTTGAGACACTCACTTTAAAATACCACTTGTTTCCCACCCTACAACATCCTTCGAGTAGGAAATCTTGCGCTACTTTTTCCTTTTTTTTTTTTTTTTAAAGTCTATGGACACTATTCATGTTCTACATCTTTTTTTTAAGATTTATTTATTTATTTGCAAGTCAGAGTTACACAGAGAGAGGCGAGGTGGAGAGGCAGAGAGAGAGAGCGAGAGCGAGAGCGAGAGAGAGAAATCCTCCATGCAACGGTTCACTCCCCAGTTGGCCGTAATGGCCGGAGTGATCTGGAGCCAGGAGCCAGGAGCCTCTTCCAGGTCTCCCATGTGGGTGCAGGGACCCAAGGACTTGGGCCATCTTCTACTGCTTTCCCAGGCCACAACAGAGAGCTGGACTGGAAGTGGAGCAGCCAGATCTTGAACCGGTGCCCATATGGGATGCCGGCGCTTCAGGCTAGGGCATTAAACCCACTGAGCCACAGCGCTGGCCCCTCCTTTTTCTTTTTATTCTAACTTGCATTTATCACTCTGTACTGCTTTTGAAATCCATCACATTGATGTATATACATTATAGTTTGCTCCTTTAACTGTTGGCAATATTAAAGAATATGAATAGTCATGTTTTACAGATCCATTCTCCTTTGCTGAATATCTAGATTATTTCCATTTCATTGTTACTATGAACAACAATAAACTAGACAAACGTGTGCTTCTCTTGGGTACACACATGATGTTTTCCTTGGATCTATAACAGAAAGTAGTATTTATGGATTGCAAGTTGGACTTACTTGTAATTTTACAATAGTGGAAGACTTTCCCCAAAATGGTTATACTAATTAAATTGTTGGCAGTGATTAGAGATTGTTTTCCTATCTCCTTCTTAATATTAGATGGATCTAACTTAAAAATTTTTGCCAATCTGATGAACGAAAAGAGATTCTTCATTTTAATATGCATGTCTGTGCTAAGCGGTGTACATTTCTTTATGAAATTCTTAGCAAATTGTGTTCCTTTTGGCAACTGCCTGTTCATGTCCTTCTCCCATTCTGACCCGAGCTGTCTTTTTCTGAAGGCTCCGTCAGGAGTTCTGATACAGTGTGGATAATACTGAGCTTGATCAGTACATGGAAAATGCTGGTTCCCAGGCTATGGCTCGTCTTTAATTTTAATTACAGTTCTGTTGAACAGAAAAAATAAAAGCTTTCATTTTGAAACTGATTTTTGTGGCTTATGTTTGTGTTTTTCCAGCCCAAATTTATGAAGATGATTTTATATAATCCTGTTGACATTCAGATTTGTAAGATCAGTCTCACACATTCTCTCATTTAATCTCCACAGCAGTGTGTGTAGATAAGCAGTGTCATGCAAGACTTCTCATCACAGGTGAGTGAACCAAGCTCGGAGGATCAGCAATTTGCTTCAGGCAACAGCACTGATAAATGGTGAAGCTAAGATTCACACCTCCATCTGTGAACGATGCCCAGGCTGGTACTAGTAGTCAGTTACACCTGTGTGTGTTCCCTCTGTGGTTTATAAAGACATATAATTATAAGATTATTTTCTTGATCTATTCATTTTGTTATTAGGATTCTACTTCCTCGTTTATGAGGATTATAAGATTTCTCTCATTTTCTATTCTTTGTAACAATTTTAATAAAATTGGAGTTAACTGTTTCTTTGAGGTTTAGCGAACTTGCCTGTAGAACCACCAGGGCCCAGTACCTCTTTTTCGCAGTGTGGGTTTGGACCACTGTTTTGATGTCTGTATGGGTTATTGCTAGATGTAGGCTTCTTATTTTGTATTTAGTCAGTTTGGGCCATTTATAGTCCACAGCTTCACTGTTACCCATGAGAAAATTAACCCCAAGAGAAGGGAAATGCTATGCTCAGGTTTACTCAGACATGCAGCAGGTAGGCTGGCTTTGGGTTCAGTCTCCTGTTCAGATGGCTGGCATCCAGTGTGCACAGGTCCCTTCAATGAAGAGAGCAGTCATCTTCTCACCTGGTTGCTAGGTAGGATGACTGCTGCAGAATTATTTGCATTGTGGAAACTGGTAAGGATGACACACGTGGATGTTTTTCCTTCCCTCCCTTGAGTCCTGTTGGAGCTGCTCCAGCACCCATGGCTCTCTAAAATTCCTGAATCAACGCCTCTCTGTGTCCACCAACAACATGATTTTCCAGTGAGGGCTGCTGACAACAAGGCTTGTGCTCATGCCATTTGTCTTATCCACTGCCTTATGCGGCAGGGACAAAGTGTACCTCCTTATCTCACAGTAGAAACAATGTGGGTGTTAAAATCGAGAGCTCTCGAGTGAGACTTACTGGGTTTGAATCTCACCTCTACTACTTCTAGCTGGGTAGAAGTATTGGACTCATTCTTCGGGGTATTATTATTTTGAGTTATGATATGGGATGCTATTATTCCTCCTGTGCATATAGAGTCCTCACCCCATTTCCTGGACACCCTACTCAATCAGTCTTGTACCTCTGAATAAGGAAGAATAACAGTACCTACCCCCAAGAGTGACCATGATAACTAAGGGAGAGTACACATACAGAATACACTATAGAGCACGTCTTTGTAGGAAATCGGTTGACAAATGGGGTTCACAGTTACTGTTAGCAGCTTTATCACCACTCAGGGTCACCACTTGCATTCCATGACCTGAAACACGCTGCTGGGCCTGGGTTTCGGGTTTCCTCACCTGTCACATGGCAGGTGTTATATAAGGCTGCTTCTGTTGGAACACTGTTGCGCAGATTAAACGAGAGAATATATGTAAGAAATCCTTTTGTACTGCTCAACAGTCAAGATTGAAACCAGTCTCGCCTGTCGGTGCTGACCTGTTTTGAGAAGTCTTGAGAAGACAGGAAAAGCTCTAAGTGGACTAGGGCCTGGAAGACACTTGGAGTTATTTTAGGTCTTCTTTCCATGGAAGCAGTGCTTGTGGAGAGAAGTGGCTGGAAGCCTCCACGGAAAAGGCTGGAGTGGTGAGCACCTGAAGTGCGGTGTGTGTGTGAGGCAGGGGATGGCAAAGGCTGGCTCCTGACGGACAAGTGACAGCCACTTGCAAGTCCTGCGAGGAGGCAATGACAGCACAGAAATATCTGGAGAGCTGTCTATATGAGGCACGCAGGAAAAGCAGCATCCATGCAAGAATACTTCAAAAAGTTTGTGAGAAAATGGGATTTAAAAATGTTTGTTTTTTGAAATATGTGCATAGTTGCTTCAAAATATGCATCTCCGGGAACTGTTTGAAGGCCCCTTATGCATAGATTTCAGATTTTTTTGCACCAGAATAAACTTCCATGAGCTCTGGAAGTACTGACAATGCTCCTCCTCCCTGGCCCCCTGCACCCCAGCTTCAGCCTGCAGCAGACATCGAGGTGGTGAACTTACAATCACAATGACGAAATCCAGCCAGCACCAGGCGCTGGTGAAATACTTCCTGAATCCAAAGGCCACCCATTTCAGACCCATCTCCAGGATAAAAATAAATGTGAAAATATTGTCGGTACAATTGAGCAATCTTTCAATGTTGGGCTGGCGCTTAAGGTAAACATCTTCAAATACCTGAAATGATAAAACCATAGGCCAGGCTGAATATTCGTAAAGAGATCCTGCCTGACTTAAAAACTGTCTTGTGTATGCGATGAAAACTAGCCTCTCTCTGGTGCTACAGTTTTGCTCAAAAGGTGTCAGGACTGAACTTTTCTAGCAGAATCAGTTCCTTGAGCCAATGAGAGTGGAGAAGGAACACCCCACGCACAGGCTTCTGTGGTCTCCAGGTCCCCCAGCCCCGCTCCCGGCCCTCCGTACACACGAACGTCTCCCCTGCGGATCCGCACGCCGTCTCCCAGGCACCCCAAGCCTTTCAGCTCTTGTCCAGTGAGCCTTGGCAACGTTTCCAGAACCACTCAGTGGCACAGCCGCCCCTGGCTGGTGCAGGGGCTCTCCGCAGTGTCTCTCTGTGCCTGCAACACTCAGATCAAATGCCTCAGGCCCAACCTCTCACCAGACAGCGTGGCCGTTCACCACAGTGCTGCCCATGGTGTCTGGTGTGCGTGCCATGCCGTACAGTGTTCGGGAAACGCTGGACTAGAGCTCCTCACATAAATTACTTTGAGTATTAAACAGTTATTCATTGGACTCATAAAAATGAGACTCCCTGGTCTTCTGAGGCTCTTTTAGATGCTACATCCAAATATTTCACTCACCCACAGCATTGTGTGTACGATTCTGCAGGGTCTGTACAACTTGGGCACAATCTGTCTGGCCTTCACAGAGTGACTGGGCATGAAACAAAGGACAGAGGGGGGCCTGCTACTAACTCTGATGAAGACACCTGGGCACACACTGAAGACAGGCGGGAAACCAGTCCTGCTGTTGGGGACCAAGGACAACAGAATGTCTGAGTACAACCAGCTTGCTTTCAGCTACCAACGGGGTTTGACGGGACAAAGGACGCCATCTCCTCCACCCCACTGGCTCCTCCTCAGCCAACGTCTCAGCTTTGCCGACCTCTTCTGGAGGAGACTCCTGTTCCAGCGAGATGGCTGGGTGCCCGTGCCCGCGCCCCGTCTTCTCTGAGCATGTCACTGTGAGCTGGCCTGAGCTGCCCCATCGACCCTCCCTGGTGGGCTCCAAGCTCCTGGAGACCAGGGGCTCGTCTGTTTTGCTCTTGAGGACAAACGGAGTGGAGCTGGGGACTCATTTTTGAAGCCAGGAACAAGCGGGCCAGCCAGCACGGGTTGGCTCACAGACTGTGCACTTGAGCGACTCCTGTGTGCTGAGCCGGGCCCCCAAGACTACATAGCAGAGCTTCTCAAACTCCAGTGAGCCCTTAATCACCCAAAGGACTTTTTATAATGAGATTCTGACCCAGCAGGTTCGGGGCGGGCCCAAGACTGCATTCCTGACAAGTTTTCAAGTAACGCTGATGCTGTTGGCCCATAGACCACATGTGTTGGCAATGCGTTAGATGTTTCCTGTTACAAGCACACACAGTGAAGTGGTCTGGACCACTGTCCGGGCACCCTCTGCATGTGTGTTCAGTCCTGCCCTGCTTAGCCTGCACTTGCCTCTCTGAAAGCAGATGAGAGCCAGGATTGTGTGCCCCACGCCATGTCTGATTATAAACTCTCTCCCTGGCACCACAGGACAGTGTCCTTGACCTTTCGACAAGACCGCTGCCTTCTCTCTGACCAGCACTGGTACCTTTGTGGGATGAAAACAACAACAGCATCAGCACAACCAGCATCCCTTGGATGAGAGTAGACAGCTTGTAAAAATGTGAACAACCAGGAGAGTACAAGTAACCACAGACCAAGAATCGGCAATCAAAACCAACCAAGGGAGTCCACTCCTGGGACGGGTCAGGAAAATGTGCTCTTTTGTCTGAGGAGTAGTCTACGCGGTGGGCAGTAGATAAAGGGGGTGCATGTTGGTCCCGTCCCCACTGGGCTCATCTCCTGCCACCGGGAGATCTCACAGGGGTGAGGCACTAACGCAGAGGAGTAAGATGGGGAGCAAGACCTCTCCTTGTTCTTTCCACGTGGAGAGACCTACCGTGAAATGATCTGTCTCTGCAAGTGCGGGGGAACCCACGGCTCACAGAACAGGTAATAGGAGAGTTTAGTTCACAAGAGAGAAGAGGAGGGAGGGAGGGTGCAAAGGGGAGGAAGGGGGGGGGGGAAGCAGGCCGGTGATAAGAGAGGAGATACTGCCCCTAGGGTTGGGTGGGGAGGCTGGAAGGGCCAGGAGGTACAGAGAGCCGAAGTTCACGGCTCCACGCTGTGGAGGTGAATGGTTCAGTTATTCTCAAGTCTCGCTGGCACTCGCACCACACCCTGATGCAGAGAGCATGCACAGAACACGACAGCGCCTTGTTCTGCCATTCAAGGGATGACGGGTGGTGGGAAATCTCAAGGCAACTTATTGCGTCCTGTTCTGATCCTGTGTTTTACCTTTGGGGAAGCAGCACATGGCCTTCAAGAAAAGAGAGGGTAGGAGCATTGCTGTCTAGAGGAGGAAACATGTAGAATACAGGGAAAATGTCTAGAAATCTCCCAAGAACAAGAGGTAGATGGAGAGGCCGGGACCCAGGAGTCAGATTCCAGAAGTCAACTTACGGTCCTGGCTTGAGTTACTTTTCCCCACAGGCAAACCATCCTTGGCTTGGGGATTTCCTAGTCGGAGTGGCATCCTAGAAGTTGTGCAAAACTCTGCTCCCTGAGCCAACGTGCGGTGCAGATCCTGCTTCCACCTGGCAGGCCACATGCATAGCCGCAGGAGACCAGGCCAACACGCAGCTTCCCCCCAGGCTTCCCTGACGCTCAAGGCCCCCACCAGGCCACCGTCACTTACCAGCGTCCCACTGCTCAGCAGAATCACAAAGATAATGAAGCTCTCAAACCAGCTGTGTTTTACTATTTGGTAGCAGGTTTTGCGCAGGTTCCACCAAGTGGCCCAGGGGGACTTTCTCTTGTCCACGCTGCAGCATGGGCAACAGGAACTCAGGCCTGAAGGGGACCAGAAGTAGCACCATCATTAGCATCCCGCAGTACATCGCATTAATAGCCCCGTGCTTCGTCCCGTCCTATATTCATACCCTTACCCGTGTCGTCTGCAGTCTCCCCTATTTTTTAAAAAAGATTTCTTTCTTTGAAAGGCGGAGCTGCAGAGAGAGAGGGAGAGACAGAGAAAGAGAAAGAGAAAGAGAGAGGTCTTCCATCTGCTGTTTCACTCCCCAAATGGCTGCAATGGCTAGGGCTGGGCCAGGCCGAAGCCAGGAGCCAGGAGCTTCTTCCAGGTCTCCCACGTGGGTGCAGGGCCCAGGAACTTGGGCCGTCTTCCACTGCTTTCCCAGGCACATCAGCAGGGAGCTGGATCAGAAGTGGATCTCGAACCAGCATCCACATGGGATGCCGGCACCGCAGGCTCTGGTGTGGGGTAACCCGCTGCACCACAGAGCCAGCCCCAGTCTATGGCTGATCCAGGCGAGTGCAGTGGAAGTCACGGTGTGCCAGTTCCGAGCCCCGGCCGTGAAGACTTTCATGTTTCTACTTGCATTCTGGTGCCAACTAAGAAAGGCATGGTCAGGCCAGCCCAGTGGTTCTGCGAGGAGAGTGACAGACGCGTGAGGCAGGGCCTCGTTGCCCGGCTGACTGCCACGCAGTACCACTTGCAGGAAGGAAGCCGGCCGAGTTCCGCAGAGACAGGCAGTGCCAGCTCAGTGGCATCGGCACGTGGGCACCTTCACGTACCCTGCCGGCTCATGGCTCTCGTGCAGCTGTCTTTTGGGGAACAGTATACAGATGGTGTCCACTGGACTGCAGGGAACGAGAGAGGGGTGGCCACAGGCTTTGTGAGCCTCTCAAGCCACACAGGAAAGAATCTGCCACGTTATAGAAACATTCACAGGTAACTGCAAATGCATGTTCCAGTTAGACGGCCGAGCATCGTGCTCAACACGCGTGCCTTCCCCGTGGGTCACACCTCGTCCCCTGCTGTGCCTTCCCCGTGGGTCACACCTCGTCCCCTGCTGTGCCTTCCCCGTGGGTCACATCACCTCGTCCCCTGCTGTGCCTTCCCCGTGGGTCACACCTCGTCCCCTGCTGTGCCTTCCCCGTGGGTCACATCACCTCGTCCCCTGCTGCCCGTCTGCAGACCCTGCTGGTCCTCACACACTCCGCTCATGTTCTCTTCAACTTCTCCACAACCCGAGGGCTCCTCACTCTGCCACGTTCTCTCTCCGTCTCTCAGAACATCAGCAGGTTCGTGCTCCTAACAGGGGCCGGCGCTGTGGCGTAGCGGGTGAGGCCACCACCTGCAGTGCTGGCATCCCATGTGGGTGCCAGTTCAGGTCCCAGCTGCTCCACTTCTGGTCCTGCTCTCTGCTATGGCCTGGGAGGGCAGTAGAAGATGGCCCAAGTCCTTGTGCCCCCGCACCTGTGTGAATGACCCGGAGGAAGCTCCTGGCTCCTGGCTTCGAATTGGCACAGCTCCGGCCATTGCAGCCAATTGGGGAGTGGACTAGTGGATGGGAGATCTCTCTCTCTCTCTCTCCCTCTCTCTCTCTCTTTCTCTAACCTCTTCTCTCTCTGTGTAACTCTGACTTTCAAATAAATAAATAAATCTTTAAAAAAAATACTACTAACAGACAATTTCTTTCTTTATCCTGCACCTCTCTCCTTGTAGAAGCTACCTTTCTCCCCCACCTCCACGGGGGCCTCCTGTGCACGCCTGGGGGATCCATCCAGACGTCAGTTAGGAGAGCTGTGGCCCATTGGGAACCCTCAGCCTGGCGTCTGTCCTGCACTCGGGCTGGAAATAGGAAAGCCCACTCTTCGTATTCCTTCGGGGCCCAGTTCAAGCCCACACTTAAAGAGACCTCTCTAATTTTTAGATTAATTTATTCATTCATTCGTTAAACGTTGTATTTACTTGCTTACCAACACTTGCTGAGCTGGCCTCCCTACACTGGAGAGACAATGCTGGCCTTTGAAGGACCTCCTCAGGAGACAGACACAAATAAACCGTCCGTGTCTGTGTTGGAATTGAGGACCAATGAAGGCATCTGAAAGCAGGCACCTCCTGGGCTCAGGGCCTCAGGGGCTCAGGAAAGGCGGCATACGGGTTCCTCAGTACGCAGCTCCTCCATGTGGCTGACATTCTCCCACGCAACGCCCGCAGCAGCGCTTTGCAGTGATTTTGTGAATGAGGCAGCCGCAGAGGGGTTAGCTCCCCTGAACGAGGCACCCGGTCACTAAGTGGAGAGGCCAGCCCTGGAACCTGACCCACCCTTCCGCTGAACTGAAGGGCCTAACCAAAATGGCCGCGTTTTTGTCTTTTCGGTCAATGGCTTCAGATGCATCCTGATGATGAATAAATGGGGGACTTCACAAAGTGCCAGACCCCTGGCCCAGTGGGCTTTCTATGACAGTTCTCTGAAGAGTGTCTATCCTGCCTGTTGGCTGGTGTGAGTGCAGCCCACCAAAAAGGAGTAACTGAAATCCCCTCCACCTGGACCCTAAATTTGCAGACGTCCTCTCTTTGCTGTGGCCCCCGTAGAAACAGAAGAGGGCATCTACCCAAACCACAGAGCTTCAGAGAACACAAGCCTCAGGCGAGGACCCCGTGTGCTGCGCGCAGGAGCCCCGGCACCTACCTTTGGGCAAGCACCTGTCCGGCTGCTTTCTGGGAGCCGTCTCTGCCAACCACCGGAAGGCCTCCTGGAGGTCGATGGTGCTGCACTCCGAGAGGACACTGCTGCTGTCAGCCTTCTGCACACCAGAGCAAAGGAAAGGGGGCACTCACTCGACCCTGCCTCAGCGGAGAACAGCCGGCTCACGGTCCGAGCTGCTCGGGATGAAGCCACCCAGCCCGTCTTCCAGGTCTAAGGGGTGCAGCAGGGCAGCCCTCCCGGAGCGCGCTTCCCCGCGCTCTCTGACCAGCCCGACGCCAGGAGACAGCTGCCTGACCACGGTCCACGGCAGACGACCGGCCGAGCGTGTGAAGACAGCACTCACTCTTCCCTGAATACGGAGCAGAACCCTGAGAGCCTCCCGGCCCCAGTGCTGGAAACCAGGTCGAAGACGGCTTTGCTGAGACTCACTGTCAGCCGCCTGGACTGCGTGATCACAGGCGCAGGCCAGTGGTGCCCACGGACGCTTTCCTCCAGAGATATTTGGTAATATCTAGAGACGTCCTGCTCACCACAGCCAAGGGATGCTATTGGCATCTAGTGGGAAGAGGCCGAGAATGCGGCTCAGGACCCCAAAGTCACAGAAAAGCCCCCCACAACAGAGAATTGCCCGGGCCTTGGTTAGGTTCAGCTCTGGCAGCGGTCGCCCATGGCTGTCTTGTGGATGGGCGACATCCAGGGAAAGTCACCTTTTGGGGAGTCTGTGAAGTCAGACAAACATCTTCGGGGAACACGTCAACTTCCAGGCTTTCGACTCCAGGGCTGGAGGGCTTCTCGGTCTCCTGATGGGGCTCGCAGGCCTGACATGAAAAAGCCGAGGGAGGAATTAGTGTGCCTTTCGGACACCTCACTCGTGATGAAAAAAGTCTGAATTCTACTTGCTTTTCTATTCATCATGAAAACAGTCTGTGGAACTGTTCTTTTTGTTTTAAAAAAAACTGCCCCTGGAGGCACTCAACATGAAACATACCAGAAAAACTATTAGAGGAACTCTGGTTAGGGTTGAAAACTCACTGTAGACTTACAGAATCAACACAGTTTGCTTCTGGTGAGACCCTACCAAACAATTCAGAAGTGAAACTTATATGGGGATCTAATGCATTTTCTTTTCTTTTTAGACAGGCAGAGTGGACAGTGAGAGAGAGAGAGACAGAGAGAGACAGAGAGAAAGGTCTTCCTTTTTGCCGTTGGTTCACCCTCCAATGGCCGCCACGGCCGGCGCACTGCGGCCGGCGCACCGCGCTGATCTGAAGCCAGGAGCCAGGTGCTTCTCCTGGTCTCCCATGGGGTGCAGGGCCCAAGGAACTGGGCCATCCTCCACTGCACTCCCGGGCCACAGCAGAGAGCTGGCCTGGAAGAGGGGCAACCGGGACAGAATCCGGTGCCCCGACCGGGACTAGAACCCAGGGTGCTGGCACCACAGGCAGAGGATTAGCCTAGTGAGCCGCAGCACCGGCCAAACTAATATATTTTCAAATGTGCACTTTCAATTTAATGGTTAAATAATAAAAATAATAAATAGTACTGGTAGATAATATCATAAGATAGTAATGGGGTATTCTGATGTAAAATAAATAAGTAGAAGTGATGGAAGGAAATTTTACAAAGTAATTTTTTATCATTTGGTAAACATAGGCTTTCTTTAGCAAAATAGAAAATGAAAAAAAAAGACAGGAAAATATATCATTACATAAAAAGTAAAAGTAAATTTAGTCTGAGGATCTGTAGGGATATCTACAAAGGATGCAAAGTCACACCTTTGTGAGAGTTTCAGACGTCTGTGTAGGAATGGAAAGAGCCTCCTGGGGCCAGGTAAGACCTGTGAGATCATGTGCTCTGGCCCTGTCAAGGCACCTGCAGGCAGCACTCAGAAGTCACAAATAAACCCACAGCAGACGGACGTTTAAACTAATAAGGCTGCGTGGCCTGCGGATGATGTTATGAATATCTTAACAGTCCTTGGCAAAAAAAGATTTACTCACCCCTCACAGTGCCTGTGAATATGAACATTGTAAGACCATAATTTTTTCAGAAGATTTTATTTATCTGAGAGGTAGAGTTACAGGCAGTGAGAGGGAGAGACGGAGAGAAAGGTCTTCCATCCACTGGTTCACTCCCCAAATGACTGCATGGGCTGGAACTGGGCTGACCCGAAGCCAGTAGCAGGGGCACGAGCACTTGGGCATCTTCCACTGCTTTCCCAGGCCACAGCAGAGAGCTGGATGGGAAGAGGAGCAGCCGGAACACAAACCAGCACCCACATAGGATGACTGCTCCACTGGTAGAGGCTTAGCCCACTACGCCACAGCGCCAGCCCCGATAAGGTCATAATTTAAGGACATCTGTCCACTTTGAACACTATGTGTATTTATGGTACACACATAAACATGCACACTCAGAAAGAGGTAACGTGGATATGGGTCAGACCCAGAACAGAGATAAACTAGGAGACTCTAAAGCAGACAGCAGTGATGGTGCCTAAAGTGCCCTATCTGAGGAGGGAGCAGAGGGACAGCCAAGGCTCAGAGCTCTTGGCGAGGGCGGAGTTCTGTCATCCAACAGAGGAAGCCAAGGGCCAGTGTCCCGGCGCAGCAGGTGAAGCCGCCACTTGCAACACCAGCATCCCACAGGGGTGCCAGGTAGAGTCCTGGCTGCTCCACGTCCTATCCAGCTCCCTACTAATGCCGCCGGGAAAGCAACAGAAGATGGCCCAGGTCCTTGGGCCCTGCAACCACATGGGAGACTCAGAAGCTCCTGGCTCCTGGCTTGGATTGGTGCAGCTCCGGCCACTGTGGCCATTTGGGGAATGAACCAGCAGATGGAAGATCTCTCTCTCTCTCTCTCTCTCTCTCTCTCTGTCTCTGCCTCTTTGTAACTGTGCCTTTCAAATAAATAAATAAAAAAAAAGCCAAAAGCACTGTGGTAAGCACCTGTAATTACAATTACACAGAGCTGCACACCTTCAGAAATGGAATCTGGGGCTGGCGCCATGGCTCACTTGGCTAATCCTCCACCTGCGGTGCAGACACCCCAGGTTCCAGTCCCGGTTGGGGTGCCGGGTACTAGTCTCAGTTGCTCCTCTTCTAGCCTGGCTCTCTGCTGTGGTCCAGGAGGGCAGCGGAGGATGGCCCAAGTGCTTGTGTCCCTGCACCCACATGGGAGACTGGGAAGAAGCACCCAGCTCCTGGCTTCGGATCAGCGCAGCACTGGCAATAGCGGCCATTAGGGGAGTGAACCAATGGAAGGAAGACCTTTCTCTCTGTCTCTCTCTCTCTCTCTCTCTCTCTCTCACTGTCTATAACTCTACCTGTCAAATTAAATGGAATCTGGGCAGGTCTGCCCACTTGTTCAGTGACAGGAGCTGCGGTGTGCATGGTGCCACCGTTAGACAAGAACCCCACATTGGCAACATGTGAGGTGGTTCCAAAAGGGGTGCCCATAAGTGTGCACTAGAGACAAGCACAGAACCCGGACTATGAACAGAATGTCAGGACCTCCCACTCAAGAGGTGATATTCTGAAATACACATAATACACATATTCTGAGAAAAATAAAATTGAAATCAATATCCTCAGAAAAGAACAATTGGGCAGCGAATTTGCTGTCGGAAGTTAAGAAAGGAATATAAAAATTTGAAAATGTCTTTAAATGAGTAAGAATAGAATTTAATTTTTTAAAGAGGTCATTCACTTCCCTGATGGAAGCATAAGTGGTAAAGATTATAAAACGCCACTGACGTCTCTGGAGACTGTCCTGAGCACACAGGGAAAATGACACATTTGTTCAAGAGTTACCACAGCTCAGAACATCAGAGCCTGCAGCACTGAGCCCCAGAGAAGTTTTATGGAGCTCCAATCGAGGCGGATCTGGTCAAGAATATGGGGCTCCTTTTACCATCAGTTATCTCTCTTTCTTATATTTTGATACTTATGTGCATTTAAAATTTTTTTTCTATTTATTTATTTGACAGGTAGAATTATAGACAGTGAGAGAGAGAGACAGAGAGAAAGGTCTTCCTTCCGTTGGTTCACCCCCCAAATGGCTGCTACGGCCAGCACTGCGCCAATCCGAAGCCAGGAGCCAGGTGCTTCTCCTGGTCTCCCAAGTGGGTGCAGCCCTGCACGTGCGTGGGAGACCTAGAGGAAGCTCCTGGCTTCAGATCAGCTCAGCTCTGGCCATTGTGGCCATCTGGGGAGTGAACCAGCAGATAGAAGACCTCTCCGTCTCTATCTCTCTGTCTCTGTCTCTCTCCCCCTCTTGCTCTCCTACTGTAACTCTTTCAAATAAATAAAAAGGAAGATAAAATTTGTATTTAAAAAAAAAGTAAAGGATTGAAACACTGAGGTGATGTCACAGGCGAGAGGAGCTGAATGCGATGTGCTGTCTTAGATAAACTCCGGGGACAGGGGAACTAGACGTTAGACACAGATCGAGGACATCTGAGCAATCTGCTAGTTAATGGTGCGCAGCTGAGGGCTGAGCTGCCTGCTAGTGCACACCTCGGGACGCCGCCGGTGACAGCTCGGGTGCTTGGGTCCCTGCCGCCCAGCGGAAGGCCCAGACTGAGTTTGTGCTCCTGGCATCAGGGTGGTCCAGCCCTGGCTGTTATAGGCAACTGGGGAGTGAACCAGTAGATGGGAGATACCACTCTCTGTTTCTGCCTTTCATATAATAAAATAAATAAATAAACTTTAAAAATTGAAAGAAATAATGTATGGATACTGGGTTATTAATTGTGTCTTATTAATGTGAAATGTTGATCATTAAGCAAACTGGATGTGGAATACATAATAACTCTCTGGAGTAATGTCACAACATTCCAGTGGACCCAAACTATTTTAAAATGAAATGTTATACACAAGTAAAAAAATAGATTTAACAAAATTATACAAGGAGTGCATTTAAATATGAACATATATACAGGTTAGAAAAAAAAGAAAAGAAAAATCCATGCAAGCACTAAGCATAACAGTAATGGATATGCCAACACCAAAGTACACTCCAGAACAAAGAATGATGTCAGCGATAAAAGGGAAAATTTCTTAAGGAGAAAGAGATGACTTTGTCAAGAATATATAATCCCATGTATATAACTGATAACCTGAGCTTCAAAATACATGAGGTAAAAAAAAAAAAAAGGAAATCCACAATTACAGTTAGAAATTGCAACTCTGCTCTCTTAGTATCTGAAGAAAATGAAGCAACGCTAAGGACACAGAAAGTCTGAACAACACTAGCGGCTGAGTGACCTGATGGCCATCCATATCGACCTTCACCCATCCTATTTGTCAATAAAAATGCTATCATCTAATTTTAAAACACATAAATTAACCAAAATGGAACAATAAGAAAGGTGGAAGATTCTTATATCTATTCTTGAAAACTTGAATTTGCAAGAAAGACATATCCCCAAAACACAAGTCCAGGTCCAAATAGCTTTACTAATGAACCTGTCAAGCACCAATGGCAGAAATAATATCCATTACACACACACTGCCTCAGAAATAAGGAAAAGGAGTATTTCTCAACTCATTTAATGAAGCTCTTGGTGTCCTGGTATCAAAACCCGAAAAATACACTGTAAGAGGAAAAATATGCAAACAAAATCTGTAACAAAATATTAGCAAGTTGAATCCAGATGCATACAAAGGGATAATATACCACAACTAAGTAGGGATAATATAAGGAATGCATATGTGGCTAAACCTTTAACACAAATAAGAAAAAACTCCATGACAGTCTCAATAGGCCAGGACATACATTCAGAATTCCCACCTTTTTAAAAAGGATTTATTTATTT